ACACCCTGCAGTGCCCAGAGCCCACAGTCTAGGTGGGGATAAAGGCAGCACGAACTGACGGGGAACCATGTACAAATGCCTCCATGTTTCTGCAGCGGGAAGCAGGACAGGGACAGGCACAGGATCACTCTACAGTTTCTCCTCCCCAGGGTTCTGGTTGCTAATGAGGTGACTCAGACAGAAAATCTGCAGCCTTGAGGGCAGAGGCTCTGCTGGTTGGGAGAGGAGACCACGGGCATTCTCCAGGCAAGGCTTCTCAACTGCAGGTGATGGCAGGGAGATCCCCAAATCCCTGCTCCCTCAGCATTTTTGGTAGCAGCTCCCTCTCCCTCCCTCCCTCTGCATATTCTGCCTGGAGCTGTCCCTGCTGAGAGCTGCTTCTCAGTCACTAATTCTGTGCCCTGTCATCACTCACAAAATCCCATCCCACTGTTAGTGTGCTCAGCTCTGCTTTGCAGACGCCTCCCAAGGGCAGGGCATTTCCCATGGCCTTCTCCACGTTAGCAGGCAGCAAACAGCATGTCACAAACCCTGACAGAGCTGGAAAGGTGATGCTGGTGCTATCTGCAGAGCCATGGCTGGTGAAGGCACTTGCTGAGATCCCTCCTAAAACCCATAATGATGGATTAGGAGCCCCTGCCGTCTTCTAAAACGGGCAGCTCTATTTCCATTCCCATCCAGACCAACAAGTGATAACTCCAAGCACAGACTCAAGAAAGAACAGACTTAAGTAGGACAAGGCTGCCCTGATTATACTCCTGTAAAGTCCCCTCCAGAGAAGTCTGGGTAGTCAGCAGGAGCTATGAGCACCCATGACCCTTGCAGCACCCCCTTGACAGGCAGAAGGACCCTTCCCTTCTGGGGGTAACTTCTTCTACCCAGAGCTTCTCTCCAAAGTGCCTAGGGGAGCTCCCGGGGCAGGCTGAGTGCTGACCCTGGCAGACAGCAGACTCCCTGTCCTATCATACAGATCCCAGGAGTGAAGGGACACTGCTGTGAAGGACAGCCATGCGAACCCTGGGGTGCGTACACTGGCTGCTAGCTGTAGCAGCCGTCCATGGGAGAAGGGAGATGTCATGCCCTGCCCTTCTGATGGTATCAGCAGATCATAGAATCGTATAGAATTATAGAATTGTTTGGGTTGGGGGAGACCTTTAGAGGTCATCTAGCCCAACACCCCTGGAGTGAGCAGGGACATCTTCAACTACACCAGGATTCTCAGAGCCCCGTCCCACCTGACAGATAATCACTACTCAGAAAACATCCCTTTCCTCTGCGCTAGAGAAGCCAGCAGAGCCGCTGAGACATATCATATCAGCCACGGGATGTGCCAGCTCTAGAAGAGCGCTCCAGGATTCTCATCTGCCTTGCCCTGCAGCAAGAGACTTACCATGTTAAGGACTATTGGGGGATTTCTCCTGCAGTGAGCTTTGAGTTGCCTTCCCACTTCAGAGAGCTGTTAAAATCTTGATCCTTCCTTCCCCCTTGTCACCTGCAGGCAGTGTCTTCAGCCCTGCTGCATTTTGCAGAGGAACTGCTCCTGCGCAGATCTGTCTCACAGCAGTTACCATGAGCTCCCCCTGTCCTAGCAGCCCAGCTCAGCTCAGGAGAAAAGACCCAGCCCAAGCTGTCACTGTCCCTGCCCCGCCCCTGCCCCAGCTCTTTTGAGATTTCCCAGTTACTCCAGGGCTGACAGCTCCTGAAAGGCAGCAGGTTCACCCCTGGGGAAGGTACTTGGAACTCAACTGAAGTAATCACCAATTGTCCTGCTCTAAACAGTGGAAAGACTGATTCCAGCCACGTGCTTTGTCCTACTGGAACATGGTTGCCTTCAAAGGATGTAAATTTCCCCCTCTGGAAAATGCCATTTGCCTGTCCAATAAAAGGACACACAGAGTGGGACGAGAAGGGGGTTGGTTTCCACTGCGTAGGGCCAGGATTCATCTGAGGCAAGGCAGGCATCTCATCCAGAGCTGCGAGCTCTTGGACTAAAGCAGCATTCAGCTCCCCTCAGGCACCCCACAGACCTGGGTGACCTCGGATCTTCCCTTCAGTGTAGCTCTGCACAAAAGCATTACCTGGGTGTGAGTCCCTGTTCTGAGCCCCTTGTCTTTATTCAGTGGGCAGCTGGTTGCTCACATACAGAAATTCACGATACCAAGGTGGTCCATGCTGTGCAAGAGCTTGCAAGCTCTCATGGAAAGTCTCTGAGAATGCCCACATCCTTCCTGCGCATCTGCTGAAGCCAGAGGGGCACAAAGGATATCTTCGGCCATCCTGAATGCTGTGTTTAGGGTTCCTGAATGTGCCTTTGCCAAGTACCTCCCTGGAGCATGCAAAGGTATTCCGCTGACTAAATTCCGGAGTGCCCCAGAAGGGCCCTCTAGGCTCCATCCACTGAATTCACTAGAGTTCCAGGCACTACAAAGCTAAGACAGGTCCACACCTTTGCCCTGAAGACACCTCATTTTAATGGCATAGAAAGAAGTGTAGTGCCATGGCAAGTGCCTGGGGCTCCCAGCACACACACATGCAGTTGGCAAGTGCAGCAACAGGGCCTGCAGGAAAGCCATACTCTTATCCAGAGCATGCAGGGCACATATTCCAGGGCCTTTCAAAAGAGTCTGGTGCCTGTGTACCAGCATCTGAACACCCATACCATTGCACAGAGGCAAGGTCCCTCCTGGCTGCATCCAAGGACGCTGCAGGAATGGGAGGCGATAGGAATGGGAGGTTCTCTCAAGTGCATGCAGCATGCCGAGTAACCATGATGAGTTAGAGACCTGTGTGTAGTTGAGTGCTCCAGTCTTGCTGGGATCATGGGGCAGTGGTGGGATGGCTCCCATGGCTGGGGTGTTGCAATAGAGGCACACAGGTTCTTTACAAAAGATAGGCTGGGAAGACAAGAATGGGGAGCTTCTCTTTATATGAGAGAGCAGCTGGAGTGCATGGAGCTGGCGATAGGTGAGGATCCAAATGAGAGCTTATGGGTGAGGATCACAGAGAGGACAGGTAAAGGTGACATTATAGTAGGTGTCTGACCTGAGCAGGAAACACAAGTGGATCACGCCCTCCAACAGACAGCTACAAGAACCACATGATGATGGAATTCAGGATCCTGAGGGCAAATAGGAGGGTGAAAAGCAAGCTTGCTACCCTGGCCTGCAGTAGAACAGACTTCAGCCTTCTCAAAGATTTGCTTGGAATAGTCTTGTGGGGTAAAGACCCTGTCAAGAAGGGGGGTTCATGAAAGCTGATTAGTGTGTCAAGGGCAACAAGAAGAACTTGTAGAAGTGCGTAGGTGATAAAAGGAAGCCTAGGGAATAGGTATGCCCTCTGCTGAATGAGACGTGGGACCTGGTTACACATACGATGGAAAAGACTGAACCACTGAATGTCTTCTTCACCTCAGTCTTTTCTAACAAGACCAGCCTTCATGAGACCCAGGTCCCAGAGACCAGAGGGAAACAAGATGTACGTAAACCCGTGGGCCCTTATTGGATTCACCCATTAGTGCTTACAACTGCTGGCAGGTGTCATTGCAATGCCACTCTCAGTAATCTTTCATTTATCCTGGTGATTGGAAAG